TGTGTGTGTGTTTCTGTGTGTGTGTGTGTTTCTGTGTGTGTGTGTGTTTCTGTGTGTGTGTGTGTTTCTGTGTGTGTGTGTGTGTGTGTGTGTGTGTGTGTGTGTGTGTTTGTTTGTATGTGTATTATGTGTATATGTGTTTGTGCATGTGTATGTGTGTATGCTTATAATATGTGTGCATGACTCTTTCTGCTGCCTTTCTGCTGCTACTCCTTGGCTACTTCTTACTTTTGTCTTTCAGCCACAACCCTGATCTTAGGGTAGTTAAGATCTCTAACACCTAGCCTTCTCGGATAAGGGTGTAAAAATCTTGGAGGTTCCGTGTAAAGTTGCACACGTTAAAAATCCCTTGGTGGTCCAAAAATCGATAAGAGTAGGCTTTGGCTTCCACCCGAGCAAAATTCAAAGTTAAATCCTACCAAACTGAAAATGCTTAAAGTGTCCCGCGAGCCCATACTTTATTATGCAGGTACGGGCGCCAAAAAACACTTGCCAAAAAAAGGATAAGATTATGAGAGTTTGGGGGAGGGGGGAGCAGGGACCTTGGAGAGAACATGGAATACTGAGATGTGGTGACGAAAACAACAAAATCAATTCTATAAATTTGATTAATATTGGAAAAGTAGTAGAAGTTTTAAAATGGCTATTAAAAGGTACTGTAACAGCAATTGGTCGCTTTTAAGCACAAGCGGGCTATGCCGAAAAATTCTGGTTTGAGAAAATCGAAAGTAAAGTTTTGCCCCTGTTCAGTTTCTTTAAAAGACAAGGAGGGTTTTCTCTATGACCAAACAATTTTTTTTAATACACGCACCAACAAAACCAAATTTCTCCAATATGTAGGGAAATGCCCACTTTTGGTGTGGGTCAAGATTTCTGGAAACCCCCAAAATCTGGGTTAGCCCACTTGTCCTTAAAAGGGACCAATTTATCTTGGCTTTGTGCAAACCACTAACGTGCCAATAATTGTTGTCACACTGCATGCCGATTTCCTGGAGAAAAAAAAAATCGCAATTTTAGTATTATCAGTGCGGTATATAGTTGGGTGCTCACTCTGCAGACGACAGAGGAGAATAAACTCGTATAACGACAAAGAAAATGTTCTTTTTGCAATTCAGCTCTGTGGGATTTAGTTGTGGAACACTATTATTAATAAAGTGTGAGGTATCGTGGTGAAAACAGGCGCTCGTCAAAATAATACAAGAGGAGAAAAAGGCACTTTTCCACAAGTTTGGCAATTTTTATCGAAATTTTGTTTTTTGGCTAAACACCTTTTATGTTTGTATGAAGACACATTTCCAGGTGAAGTTTACTGAAAACCTTTGTTTGGGGGCACGGAATATGCAATTTTCAGTTTTCAGGCTATTGAAGTTGCCAAACTTTGGCGGCCATTTTCTCATTAATTTAACCCCTGAAAGCAGGCTACCCCACCTTCTTCGATCGCAAATATCTCGACTTCTATTCAAGCTAGGAGGATATTTTTTCTTTGAAAGTAAGCAAGGCAAATGGACAAGCTTTCAGGTGATATCAATAACTCTACATGCCCAAAAATTGACCAGTGCCTGATTCCACCACGTTGTGCCACAAATATGTATCTCGACGCAGGGGAATCGGACGCTAGCCAATTATTGGGCATGTGAAGTTATTGACGTCATTCTGAAGCTTGTTCATTTGTCTTGCTTTCGATTCTAATTAAAAATGCACCTTTATCATGAATAAAAGTCGAGACATTTGCGGTTGAAGGAGGTGGGGGTCACCTGCTTTCACAGGCCAAATCAGCGAGAAAATAGCCCGCAAAGTTTGGTAGCTTTCATAACTTGAGAGTCGCTGGAAACTGAAAATTTACTTTTTTAGTGCCAATAATTGTCTTTTTTCGTTAAATTCACACGGAAATGAGTTTTTAAATGGATATTAAAAGTGTTGAGCCAAAAAAAAATTCTATAAAATTGCTAAACCGGCAGAAAAATGCCGGTTTCTTCGATGTCGGTATCTTAACAAGCGCCTGATTTTACCGCGCTGCCTCACAATTATTACTCGTATTCGGGTTTTATTTCATGAAACAAAACTACTGAACTTTTTACGTTCCTTTTTGCTGTTATCAACAGCTGGGAAGATCCTTATAACCTCAAGCTAGTCAAGAACTGCCTACGAGTGGCCGAAGTCTGGCTAGATGAGTACAAGCAAGTGTACTTCGAGAGGATTGCCAACTTTCAGGTAACTTTTCCATTACCAAATTTGCACACTAGGTACTGATTAACTTTTTTTTTTAACTTACTTGAAACGTATACAAGCATGACTCAATGGGCTCAAAACATAAAATATTACTTAAAATGAGCAAGCCACAAAATGTGTGTGGGGGTGGGGGGGGGGGGGGGGGGGGGGGGGGTTCTTTCATTTTATTATACTTCTCATGGAAAGTTTGTTAGAGTTTATGAAAAGAATAAAGATTTGTACACTTTGTAAATAAACGGCGAGTGAGAAAGTGTTGATTATTTTAAAGTATGTAGACATTTGAAATGCACTTTTTCTCACAAGTTCAAAACAAACAACAACCAATTCTAATGCACAAACATTGTTGTTTTTGTGCAAGTTGATATCTCACCAGTGGCTAAGTGAGTAATGAGTATAGACTCAAGTAATGTTTAGCAAGTGTCGGTGACATGGGGATCAGATCAGATGGGTGGTCTCTGGGGTGCGTCCTTAAGCAAGACACAACCCTTGCTCAAAATACATGGCGCTGCACAGTGGCGACCGACAGTGGCGTGGTTATAAACTGTTCTGTATTTGTGTAATATTGTATATTTATGTATGTACTTAAGCATGTATTTGTGTATGTACGTATGTATAATTATGTATTTCTGTATGCATTATGTATGTTTGCCATTGTAAACCAAAGTGCCCTTCTGGGACAAATAAAAGTGTAATTTATTATTTATTTTATTTTATTTTATTACTCGATTCTTCCGCCACTATAAAAATATGTTCTCATTTGAAATTTGATGAAGTGTTCTGGATAACCTTTTTCTTTAAATATTTTAACAACTTACTTCTGATCTCGTCACCAAATAGAAAAAGTTGGACTACGGTGATGTTAGCGAAAGAAAAGCCCTGCGAGCTAAGCTTCAGTGTAAGTCGTTTCACTGGTACCTGAAGGAAGTCTACCCGGACCTGTACATTCCTGACAGAGCCAGAACTTCTGGGAACGTGAGTTTTTGCATTCCTTCTCCTATGTTTATAGATCTGTTCCGTTGTGTTGATGGGTTGTGAAGGGGAAGTAATCAGTGGATTCTATCAGATGAGGCAGCACCTGAACGGACATGGAATGAGGCGCGGTTCATCAAAACGAAATGGTCACGTTTTTTCTGTATGGCATTAATACTATGTTACAGAGCGAAGTGGAGACAAACAAAAATAAACCAAAGGTCCACGTAAAGTAAGGGCAATAATTCAGTCATTTATGTACTAATTTCAACAATATTTGAGGGGACACTACTCGAATTGCACATAAGATTAAAGGCCAAACTGGATCACACACATTGGGCAGTGAAAAACAAAACCTTTTTTTTAAACAGAATAGATCTACATGTAATTACAGTCGAACCTGCCCTGACGGCCACCTCTATAAGACGGCCACCTGTACAAACGGCCACTTTCCATTCCCCCCCTTGCGTTTTTCCTATATAATTTAACTGTGTAAAACGGGCACCTGTCCAACG